TTTTTTTTTGTGTCTGTTACCACTTTTTCTCAGCTCTCACCGAACCGATTTCTTTCAACTCGTCGTCAAAAGATCACAAATCGTATCTAGTTGAAGACATTACCCTTAAAAATTGAAAAAAAATCCCTCGTTCCCCGTAAATGGGGGAAATATCCAAAAAAATTACAAATTTAAAAATCGCTAATTTTCGAAATTTTTTTACTTTTTTTTCTTAAAACTTCCATAACTTTTTGAAAAATCAACAAATCAACATAATTTTTTTTTATACTAAAACGTTAGATATCTACCTTTCATTTGATATCATTTTTTTGAAAATCTATCACGTAACCTGCTCATTAGAGGGGATTTAAAATAGCAACTTCTTTACCAAAATTAACTTTTTCAACTTAATTTTTGAAAATGTTCCGGAAATACTGCGTCCTTCAAACATATATCAAATTAAAGCTTATTTTATGTACTATAAAATGAAAAAAAAAAAATTTGTCCCGACACTTTTTCTTCTACATTTAAACGGCTGCCGTAGTTAAAAAAACACTATTTTTGTGTTAAAATTTTCGATTTTCGATTTTAAATTTTCAACTTAAAAATGCTATAACTTTTTGAAAAATGTATATATCAGCACAAATTTTTTTTTTCTAAATACATTATAAGTACATCTTTCATTTGACATACTTTTTATTAAAATTGGACAATTTCCCCTTATATAGGGGGCGTCCAAAACTTGAAATATTGTAAAAAACATAGATCTTTTTCAACTGAACTTTTGAAAATGTTCCGGAAATACTGCGTCCTTTAAACATATATCAAATTAAAGCTTATTTTATGTACTACAAAATGAAAAAAAAAAATTTGTCCCGACACTTTTTTTTCTACATTTAAACGGCTGCCGTAGTTAAAAAAACACTATTTTTGTGTTAAAATTTTCGATTTTCGATTTTAAATTTTCAACTTAAAAATGCTATAACTTTTTGAAAAATGTATATATCAGCACAAATTTTTTTTTTCTAAATACATTATAAGTACATCTTTCATTTGACATACTTTTTATTAAAATTGGACAATTTCCCCTTATATAGGGGGCGTCCAAAACTTGAAATATTGTAAAAAACATAGATCTTTTTCAACTTAATTTTTGAAAATGTTCCGGAAATACTGCGTCCTTTAAACAAATATCAAATTAAAGCTTATTTTATGTAATATAAAATGAAAAAAAAAAATTTGTCCCGACGACCTATCTTCTATGCGCAAATGGCTACCATATTAAAAATATGCTATTTTAACAAATTTTTTTTTTAATTAAACACTATCTACAGATTTGCATCGAAGCGTTTTTTATGATAGTGATTTTAATCACTGTCAGATATCATCCATACTGGACCCAACTATGCCACGGCCCCATTGTGCCACCACCCCACTGTGCTAGGATCCTTTTTTTTTCTTAAAACTACCATAACTTTTTTTAAATTAACAAATATAGGGGGCGTTCAAAACTTGAAAAATACGTATAAAAAGTAGAACTTTTTCAATTTAAATTTTGAAAATGTTTCGGAAATACTGCATCCTTTAAACATATATCAAATTAAAGCTTACAATAAAAACTATAAGTTCAAAAAAAAAAATTTGTCCTGACACCTTTTCTTCTATAGGAAAATAGCCGTCGAATTTAACGAAACTTATAATTTTTATGTAAAAATCACTGTTTAACATAAAATATTTTAATACTTAAAACTGCCATAACTTTTTATAAATAAATATTAAAAACTAAATCAATAGTTTGAAAATTAATTAAATTTTTCAAAATAATCATACATTTTTAATGACAAATGTCATTAAAAAAACTTGTTTGTTTTCGTGATATCATTTAATATTGATTGGAGTTATAAAATTTTTACCGCAATCAAATTATTTTAAGATAAAGCAATTAATCTTAATTGCTTAAATGAAAAGCATTAATAAAAATTTTATATACTTAAATTTTGTAAAATGAGATAGTGGAAATAGGTATTTAGTTGGAAATTATACATTTAAAAACGTAAATAAATAAATATAAATATAAACCTTAATAAATTATCTAAACTATCTTAAAACCTCATCTTATAACATTTAATTATAAAGAACTTATTTACGAAGTATTAGCAAAAACTGTGTACCTTATATTATGAATCATGTAAGCATGCTCTATCAACTTCTATATATCTTAAATATTATTAAAAATATCAACAAAAAATTATGTACCTCTGAGAGATAAGCTAAATAAATGCATCTAAAGCGATTGCCGCAGCAGTGGATACTAGTTTTGTTTATGACAACTGCTAAATTGCATACAAGCTGTGAGCACCTACTTATTATTATGCCTTATAAATATATACTATTCATCCAACCAAGAACTTTCTAATAAGTATTTACCAGATTTATGTTTAAATATCACTTCCTTTCACGAATAATTAATTATTGATTGCACCACAGACTGCCTATTTAAAAGTTTTAATTTTACATAAGAAATTAATATTTACTTAGTATATAAGAAAATATAGGAGTTATAAATTCTTATTTATATTAAGACCATAGAAAACTAAGTTTTGAGTTGCCATATTGATATGTCAGATACAATTACAACTTAACTCATCTATAGATGTTTTAAGATTCGTTGAAACTTTGAGACATATTTAACTGAAAAAATGCACTGTCTAGATAACTACCTAAACTGCCATAAAAAAATATATATATTTTTTTTTACAAGGCACATAAGTGTCTAAAAAACATGTCTAAGACAACAACTAATTACTATGAGTATTGAACCGATATATACTCTCACTGGACCGACGTTGACAGACAATACGTCAAAAGATCACAAATTGTATCTAGTCGAAGGCATTATCCTCAAAAATTGAAAAAAATTCCCTTGTTCCCCATAATGAGAGAAATTCCCAATAAAATTACAATTTTAAAAATCAATAATTTTCGATATTTTTTCAATATTTAGCTTCAATGCGAAGCTGAGAAGGTATTGGTTTTACTATGATATGCTTTTTTTTTGTGTGTGTGTCTTTTACCACTTTTTCTCAGTTCTCACCGAACGAATTTCTTTCAACGATTAGTCAAAAGATCACAAATCGTATCTAGTCGAAGACATTACCCTCAAAAATTGAAAAAAAATCCCTCGTTTCCCGTAAATGGGGGAAACCTCCGAAAAAATTACAAATTTAAAAATGGCTAATTTTCGAAATTTTTTCAATTTTTTTTACTAAAAACTGCCGTAACTTTTAGCTTCGATGCGAAGCTGAGAAGGTATTGGTTTTACTAAGATGTGTTTTTTTTTTTTGTGCCTGTTACCACTTTTTCTCAGCTCTCACCGAACCGATTTCTTTCAATGATACGTCAAAAGATCACAAATCGTATTTAGTTGAAGACATTACCCTCAAAAATTGAAAAAATTTCGCTCGTTCCACGTAAAAAGGGGAAATCTCCAAAAATTACAAATTTAAAAATCGCTAATTTTCGAAATTTTTTCAATTTTTTTTTCTTAAAACTGCCATTCCTTTTTCAAAAATAAACAAATCAATATGATTTTTTTTTATAGATGCTTGATGTCTTTACCTATCATTTGGTATATTTTTTTTATACATTTAACCTTTTACCTGCCTACAGGTGGAGATTTAAAATGACAACTTTTTCAACTTAAATTTTGAAAGTGTTCCGGAAAGTCTGACACTTTTCTTTTTTTTTTTATTTATAAAATAATAAAATTTACAATCTGTAAATAAGAAAGATACAAAAAGCAAATAGGTGAACAATATAATAAAACACATTTGACTTAAAAACGGGAAAAAGGGAAGCTATCCAGTGTTGGGACCCTTTTGACTTGAATTGACACTTTTATATATATATATTAAATTAAAGCTAATGTACTTTATTATGGAAAAAAAAAATTATTTTGTCTTCGTGGTGAAAATGGCTACCGAATGCTATTTTTGTGTGAAAATTCTCAATATTTTATATTTTTAACTTTATAATGCTATAACTTATTGAAAAGTGTATTGATCAACACAATTTTTTTATGAGAAATAATATTTTTTAATAATCCCTTTTTCTTTCGACATACTTTATCTTAGTCAGGATATAAATAAGGAAATAGCAGATCATGTAGCTTTTGTAATAACCACCAATTTTTTAAAATTAAACACTATCTAAAGATTTGCATCGAAGCGTTTTTATTAATAGTGATTTTAATCACTGTCAGATATCATTATACTTGATCCAACTATGCCACGTCACCACTGTGCCGCGACCCCCCTGTGCTGGGTTTTTTCAATTTTTTTTACTTAAAATTGCCATAACTTTTTAAAAATAACCGAATGATTATATATATATTTTTTTTATAGATACCTTAAATATTTACCTATCATTTTATATATTTTTGTGAACATTTGACCCTTTACCAGCCCACAGGAAGGGTTTTAAAATGGTAACATTTTCACAAATAATTAACTTTTGACAATGTTCCGGAAAGACTGACACTTTTATATATACCTAAAATTAAAGCTAATGTAATATACTTTAATTTAAAAAAAAAAATTTGACCTCTGGACGACAAGAATGAGCTGAGGCTATCCCTAAGATCAAGTTTGAGAAATGTTTAGAGGATCGGTAGAAGCATTGGCACAAGTGCATAATATCTAATGGGGACTTTTTTGAATGCGACAACATTAATGTAGACGAATAAATATTTTTTTTCAAAAAACGAAAACTCCCGTTATTTTTTGATATTTTTTTAATTTACGTCAGTTTTTTTCTTTATACCTCGCATAAAGTATTTAAAAACAAAAATTTGGGTTCATCGGTACATTTTTTAAGAAGCTATAGCAACACATCGCATGCCATTTATGCCAACACCTCAATCTTCATAATATTCGCTAACATAATTAATAATATAATAAACAACACTTAACCTACTTACTGGAGCTTCCAATAATCCACCACACATACCACATAAAGCTACAGCTAATTCCAAAACAGTGGAAGCATTATGAAATAATAAATGATTTTAATCACTGTCAGATATCATTATATTTGATCCAACTATGCCACGTCACCACTGTGCCGCGAACACCTTGTGCTGGGTTTTTTCTTTTTAAACAGCCATAAATATTTTGGACAACGAACAAATAAACCTAATTTTTTTTTATAGATATCTTAAGTATTTACCAATCATTAAGTATATTTTTGTAAACATTTGACCCTTTACAAACCCACAAGAGAGGGTTTCAAAATGGCAACTTTTCCACAAAAAATTAACTTTTTCAAATTAACTCTTAAAATGTTCCAGAAATACTTATACTTTAATATATAGAAATAAATATTCAACTTATTTGATTTTTGTTTCATTTAGATTCAAAACTACTGAATATCAAGGACACTATCACTGTAGAATCCCCTCGTGAGAATAATTTTTAATTCATATTAAAATCATTTTACTGTGTTTTTTTTTTTTTTGTAGCTGTCATTTATTTTCTCAGCACTCATTTAACCTACCCTTCTTGAGAGATATGTCAAATAATTACAATTTGAATCTTGTAAAAGATATTACCATCAAAAATTGAAAAAAAAATTTCCTTTATCAAATAAAAAGTTACTTAGCTCACATTCTCCATATAAACAATTAAAATCATTCATTTCTAATTTTTTTTAGTGTTTATTATCAAATTAAGTTTTATATGATAATTGATGTCAACTACAAATATAAATAGTTGTACTTTGTAATTTATTTGTGTGTGATACTATTTAATAACTATAAAAAATATTATTCATTAATTATACTTTTAAATCTAAGAAGTACTAATCAGGATATAATTAAGGAAATAGATGTTCATGTTGCTTTTATTACTATACACCAATTTCTTAGAATTAAACACTATACACATTTACATCAAAGTGTTTCTTATGATAGTAAATTTAATCATTGTCAGATATCATCTGAGTTTCACTTCAATAACATATTTTTAAATTTTATCAATATTTTACTGATATTATTAAACTATTTAGTATTAGTATTATGAATACTGATTTTATTAAAATCACGTTTGTAAAAAATTGAATCAAAAAATCTATTTTTATATTTACATATCATAATTTATTCAGTAAAGGCTGCACAAGTGGCAAAAAGGTTTTTGATAAAACATTTTATAATATGTATAAAAATATTTTAATCAATTAAAATTAATAACATTGTACAGTGAATTGTCAACAATTTTGTTTATTAAACAACTTTTTAGTATAATTCTAAATAAAAAATCATAATAAACAACAAATAAACACAACAACTGAAAGAATATGACAGAGAAAATAGCATTTTAAATATTATTTTTACAATAATTATGACTATATCAAGAAAATATATTTTTAACAATTTCTTTAATTTTATCTCTAGATGTTATAACACAATAAGAAGTTGCTAGGCCAAATCCTATAATTCCTCCAATACCACATTTTTTGAGGCCGCCTAAAAATGTAAGTGACTCTTAATTAATACATAAAACTCATTAACTTTTGACTACTCAAATTTAAATTAGTATTATAATACTAATTTAAAATTTCTAATAATTATTAGAAATTTTTTCTAACAATTATTATTTAAAATTAACCATAAGAAAATTATCTATAAATACCTAACACATAAAAAGTTCACTTTTGTGTCTTACAGAGAAATATAAAATATACAGTTATTAAATATTTTTATTAACAAATGAAACGTGAAATGTGGACTTGGTCTTAGAGGAGCTTAGTTTAAAATACTTTATTATACATTAAACTAAATACTATGTTTAATCCATACGTCGTTAATAGACATTTTATTTGTTTTTCTGGAATTTTTATAAGAAATCCGTCATGTAAAAATTAACTTTCTACCCTTAACATTATTAGCAAAATAATATTAAGGGTAAAAAGTGAATTTCACTTTTACTCTTAGAGTGAAGTATTTTATAAAGGAAGTTCAAAATTTTCAAGTATTAAAATTCATTATCAATCAAAATTTGAAGTAAAACAACTAACAGACATATATAATGAACTGGCAAAAAAAATATTATAAAATATTAAAAGCTTAGAGATATATTAAATTAAATACTAAGTAAGTGTGGTTGGATACAGCCTATATTGTTGAAAGTAAGCTACATCCACATTCCATTCTTACTATGTAATTAAATGCTTTTAACTTAATAAGAACTTATCTTTAAATTATCATTAACCCATTAAAATTGTTTCTGTGAAGATGGCTAAAAAGGCTATATCAAAATTTTGAAAAAAATTTTATTTTTGTTGGTCATAAATAATAAAAAATATTCTTTAAATGAAAGCTAAGACGGTAATAATTATTAAAAAAATTTATCAACATAATTAATTAAGATCAACAGTTATAAGATATCAGAATTTCGTGGGACATCTTGTACATATTTATCATGTTTCTTCTGAATATATGCCTGCTTAGGTTTATTTTTATTAACACTTTAGAAAAATATATATGTCTAGTTAAATATAGATTAATAATAAAATATAATATTATCAGTTTGTAGGCTAATTAGCGTAACAGACATTTTACAGAAAATGTCTAGACTCATTCGATATGAAGTATCTATAAATTATTTTCATGTTTTTTGAAGAAAAAAAATTTGACAAAAATGTTGATTACACTAATTAACCTAAAAAGAAACAATATTTTTGAGTATCATAAACTAGCATATGCTATTTACTTTTGATATTACTATTATTAATTATTATAAATAATTATTTATTTATACCTGTACTTTTATATAACATTCCAGTTGCAGCTCCTGATATAATAGTGTTAAATTCATCATCACAATCACGACTTTTTTGTAAAGCAACACCAAAAGCACTGTAAAACACTGCCACTGTTCCAAAAGTATTTGCCAATCGAGCACCATTTTTAAAAATATTGTTTAAAATTCTAAAACAAATTTTATCATTTAACGATAGTCTATTAATTAAAAATATATTCAGTACTGAGTTCTTTTATAAGTAGCTGTCTGATTTTCTCCAGAAGTTGTTTTAAATCCTGTGTACATTCCACGTAAACCTCCAATTATAGAACCGGCTAAACAAGATGAACCAATTTGTGAGAAAGCCATTTCAAATCGACCTCTTTGTGAAGCCCCAGCTCCTTCAAGGTATATATATTCAGGTTTAGTAGTTTGGGTCAAAAATGATGGGTCATAATTAAAATACGGTGACTGTATTTTATTAGTATCTAATTAAACAAAAACATATATTATATAAGAATGAACTCATTACGAAAAAATAAGTATAACTAGTGCAAAATTAAAAAAAAATGTATTATCATATCCAAGTAGACCTTTTATTATAATTTTTAAAAAACAAAACAAATTAATAATTTTTTTTTTTTGAACTGAGATTGAAACAAAAATTAGTAATTGAAATTATGAACCCAAAAGTTAGTAAAAATAATTAAACAACTAAGAGTAAATGGACATATTTTTTAATAAAGTACTTGGTAGACACCCATTTCCTTTAGAAAATAAATAATACATTTATACTTTATACTATTACTACATCTCACAACTATATATATTTATAAATTTTATTAAATTATTCTGAACACATCTTATAATCCTAAGACAAATATTCACAAACTTGAGACCCTTTAAAGGGCTCTTATAAAATTAATAAATACATATAATTCCAAGTCCTAACTATTATCTATATATTGCTTAACTTATCCTTACATTTGACTTCATCATCCATTTTAATAATCAGAGCCAAGTTGTAATGAAATAATGTCCAATTTTGTACAATCAACAAAATTTAAAAATTGCAACATCTAATATGAATTTTCAATTTTCAACCAAGTAAATAAAAGTTAAGTAAATAATTTGCAAGAATGAAAAAAGGTACTACATCCAACATAAAAAAACATAAAATAATTAATTTCTTGATATATTTAAATGTATAACCATCAATAAATATAAAATATCATTTACCTTCAATTGACACCATATGATGTAGTATTAAAAATAAAAATACTTAAAACATAGTATATTTTGATACATTCATCATAAGATAAAAAAAATTATTAAAAATTAAATACCGATAACGCCTATACAAATTACTAAAATTGAATTTAACAGTTATTATTATAAAATTACCAATTACTAAAATTATCAAAATAAACTCATTGACTAACGCTAATTTTTTCACTTTAAGTAAATTTTAATCCATAAAATAATAAAAAAAGAGTAATAAATAAAAACTAGACTTTCACACAGATATTAAACGTCAAAAGTCATATACAATAATTGAATTTGACTTTCGAGGCAAAAATGTCTTCAAAATAATTTTGAAGACATTTCCTATCATATCAGCTGGATGATTATTATCAATTATATTTATTGAATCTCCTTGGTTTTTCTATTCATCACAGAAATTGAATTTTTTTTTTATTTAATAGACTAAGATTATCGTTATATGTATCTTACAAAAAAAAAAAAAATAATTTTTAAAAAGTGGTCATTACAAATGAGATTTAGTTGGATCAATTTCGTAGGCGGTATTTTCGGCTGCCCAATTCTCACTAATTTCTTTATTTTTATTTCTAGTAACTTTTGTAACAAATGTTTTTGATTTATCAGCGAAATGATTTTGTATTTCTTGTAATGATCTTCCTTCCGTTTCAGGCAATATCTTATACAAAACTAAACATCCTACTATATTAACTATAGCATACATAAGAAACGTTCCAAATAATTGTATGTGATCTAAAACTACAAAATACGATTTGTTAGCAGCAAATGCAAATATATAGGCACTCGAACAACTTGTACCACTAGCTGGCCCTCGAATATTAGGTGGATAAACCTAAAAATGATTTATTTTTAAGTGAATTAAATTTATAGTCCTAAGTAAATTTTAACTCACTTCTCCAATAAGTAACCAAGGAAGAGACCTGATTGAAATATAAGATAAAAATACAGCCATATTTAAAAACACGATTGGTATCCAAGTTGTAGTATTGTTAGTAGCTTCAATATTGTACTGTCTAGTATAAGCATAGCCCGATACAATAAAAAAACAAAGAGACGTTCCTAGAGTAGAAACTATTACCAATGGACGTTTACCTGTCCAATGAATTAAAATGATGCATAAAAGTACGCCTATTAACTGCGAAATTCCAAGAATGAATATTGAAGCATATCCGCTGATCGGAGAACCCAATGATTCAAAAATATTGACCTAGAATAATTGAGCTCTATTAATGTAGACAATAGTAATGATAAGAACTGTTCGATTTTAAAATCGATCCGAATACCTCGAGATATAAAGTAAAACTAAAAAATATTGCATCATGCTATAGAATTGCTACTAATTCAAACTTTAGTGCAGTAGCTATAAATTATGTAGGTGTTCAGTAAGTAAGGAAATGGATTTCTATTGTTTTCATTTTTGTAACAACTGACCTGTTTTCTTACTTTTTGAACAATCTGTGTAATAGTAATTCTATAATTTTTAGGAAATCAATATACTTTTATCTTACTTTTGATGAATTAATATAATTTTCTTTTAAAAAAATGTTCATTTTAGATGTAAAATATTACGAATATTGATATTAAGATCGCTTTATTTTCAAAAATTTTAAATATGATGTATTTTATAGATCCTTTTTAATTAAAGTTTATATTCCAAGCTCCTATCTTATTATTTTCAAACAACTAATAACACGCTATTTAATTTTTCATATATTAACTATACTTTTAGTCATATTACAAATTTATTTTTCTTAATCATTTAAGTGAATCTCAGGAATTTAACTTTCTTCAAAACCAAAACACCGCCATTACTTAAAATATAATCATTCAGTACCATGGGTCAAGATGAACATATCTACAATTATGGAAAAAAAATGTTTTTCAAATAACTACTATAAAATTTTTAAGTATTTAAGCAACATAATATAATTTTCCTTAGGTAGAATGAGAGTAATTTTTTAAGGAATAACTTAAAATGTTATTACCCACATTCTTAGTTTTTCTACAGTAGTTATTTTAAAATAGAAAAAAACATTTTTATTTTAGTATAGCCTTTCTAGACCTGAAGTAAATAATTTATTCACAACAAAAAACATTTCCATTTTTTATTAGTTAATATCAATATCAGCCATATTAAATTACTATTTTAAGTTTATCTAATGAAATTAATTTTAATTTAATAAACTTGTAGCCCTGGCATACTATTATCAACTTATCAATTTTTCATTTCTTAAAGTTAAAAATTATTTAAATAAAAAAACTTGAGTTATATAAAAAACAATCAAGGTGATCGTAATTTAACATGAAAGGCTGAGGTATTATATCAAATTAATTTAATTGATGTAATAATAAAAGAGTTATATATATTCGTAATATTGATTTTTTATTTATTTATGTAATTTTAATTTTCTATAGATTTCAATGAACTTTTAATTTAATCAGTATTAACCCTATATTCGGTAACGTTGGTCAAATACAATTTTTTTTAAAATTAATATTCTAAAATAAAAATTGATTTAATAAACTTGAATTTAGCATAATATAGCTTATATGTTAATGCTTCATTTCCAAGTTATTTCAAAATTTTAAGATGAAAAGCATTTGAGCATTAATTAAATACCACTTAAATGGTCGCCATTCCTCTAATTTCCCCTACATAATAATGTACAGTAATATATATGTACAGATATATATAATAATGATTATAACTGATTTTATAAGACTATAAAATTTTACGGATGTTATTTAAACTTTTATATAAGGACTAATTATACGAGATAAATATATTAATATAATAAGCACCATTGTTATAAACAGTATATTTCTTTTCCGATTACACTTAGGCGATGTAGGGTATACGGATTAATATATGTGTTTTTTTAAGTTAATAAAAACTTTAAAAAATGTATCTCATAAATGTTAATTTTATACAATTTAATAATATTATAAATATCTAATATATTTAAATTAAAACTGCTTTAAAATTAACTATGAATAATAATCAGTTTTATAACAATTTTTATAATGTTAAAATTTTGTAATAAGTTATTGCCACTAAAATTTTCAAAAAAAATATTCTAAGTAAAATATCAGAAAAAACAAATATCTCAAATCCTAGCTTAACTTTACCAACTTTGTAAGAGAACATAAAAACTAATTTATGTATTATTGAACTATATAGTGTTAAAAAATTTTTGTTTAATATTTTTTATATTGACACTATCATAAATCTAAGACCACCCATTGAGTCCCGCTTAATTATAAATACAACAATATTGCTAAATCATTTTGACTGAAATATTAGACGACAGTGTTGTATCATAGACGACGATTTATGATTTATGTAATACAAATTCAGTTTACATCTACATAACCGAATAGAATATGCTAATAAATATAGTTAAAAAAAACTAAAAAAACACGCTTTTAAAGCACATCGAACTAAAAAGTTAAAAATAATTTTTAAAATAAGTTTAAAATAATTATGAATAAAAAATACTAGTATTATTGTGATAAAAGCGTCGGGCGCTCAATATACAAAAAATATGGCACAAAGCACCCACACTTTTATCACAATAATACTAGTATTTTTTATTCATAATTATTTTAAAAATTATTTTTAACTTTTTAGTTCGATGTGCTTTAAAAGCGTTTTTTTTAAACTATATTTATTTTTCACTTTTTAGTTTTATGTTATGATAGTAGTTACTATCAATATCATGGTTGTAACGGGAAATCAGGGTTCGATTCCGGAGAGGGAGTCTGAGAAACGGCTACCACATCCAAGGCGCGTAAATTATCCACTCCCGGAACATGGAGGTAGTGACGAAAAATGATGATATTGGATTCATCCTTTGTAATCGGAATGAATGAGTTCTATATCTCTAAATAAGAATAAAGTGTGTTAATATATATTTTTAATAGTAATTAGAATATATATATACATGTAGAGCGACTTAAGTACGTAAACGTATCATGCACTAGGTATACCTAGCCGTGTTTTGTGGGCGGGCGGGTCGGACTAACGTTATACCTGAGGTATAAACGGCGGTAGGAATATACAGGGTGATTTTTTTATCATAACCCACTCAATTACTTACAGAATAATAATAATTAAAAAATTTTTTTTATTATTATCTTTAGTTACACATTATTCTTGAATTATTAACTATGTAATACTTTTTAAGTTCATCCCTATGCCTGGTAAGGGTGTCAACTTTGTTTTTTTAAATGGTAACACATATTTTTAATTTAATAAAATGTTTGAGTTTTTAATTTAATAGTAAATGGCATTTGAATTTTTAATATAACTTAATTCGTTTATTAGATATAATCATTTAAAGTTTCAAATTTTTGAATTAATATACAGGTATAATACACAAGGGATTACAAATACAGGTAGCTAATTGGTTTTTTATAACATCGATATTAGCAGGTACACAGCATTGTTATTATCAATTGTAGTAAGGCACATTGTTATGAGTTTATAAATACACTAACTGACAATACAGAAAGTATATCTATTGATAATCATAATTGATAATAAACAATCCGTGACTGAGACAGCAATGTCATAAAAATCCAATTAGCTACCTGTATTTACAATCCCATGTGTATTATACATGTATATTAACTCAAAATTTTGAAACTTTAAATGTTTATATCTAATAAGCTAATAAAGTTATATTAAAAATTCAAATGCCATTTACTATTAAATTAAAAACTCAAACATTTTATTAAATTAAAAATATGTGTTACCATTTAAAAAAACAAAGTTGACCCCCCTCCAAGGCATAAGGGATGAACTTAAAAAGTATTACATAGTTAAAAATTCAAAAATAATGTGTAACTAAAAATAATAATAAAAAAAAATTTTTAAATTATTATTATTCTATAAGTAATTGAGTGGGTTATGATAAAAAAATCACTCTGTATACGTAAGCTGTATGCACGCAGATGATAATGGTCAGTCAAAATAAAAATTTGTTTATATATATAAATATTGATGACACGCACGCGTATACGGGTACGATAACCAAAAATAAATTTTTATAGGAATAGTGTGCCGTCGTGTGGTGAGCGAGGCGTGGGGTGGGGTGAATGCGTTATGACAGTCTAGTCTAGACGACGGAGTATGCGATAAGGCGTGGCGTTTGGAGAGTTACATACATACATACAAACTTACATACAGGTGAAACTAATATAAGCGTGTTAATAAGGTATATTATTGGCATTTTTAAAAAATTTAATTTATTTATGTCATATAGATGATCTGAATGGATGCAGCTCGAAAAAATAAATAATTTTGGAAATATCTTTATCTCATCTAGTCTTCCCCTCAAAACAGTATTTTGCCCAACTGCTACACAAATTGGATAGACCCTTACTATTACCTTACAAAAATTTTTAATTTGTATATAATTGAAAAATATTTACTTTATTTTAAGCAGGTTAAGTGAAATTTGAACAAAATAAAATATGGATAATTTTTATTTTTTCTTCCTAAAAAATGTTTTATATTATATAAAATTAAATTTTTTATTGAATTTTTGGATAGCTTAGCCTAACCCCTTCAAAACTTCAATAATTCTAAGCAGACAATTTAATTGAGGGACTCTAAACTTTAAATGAATATTTATCATTTTGATGAAACTAAAAAATATAAACATTTATATTTTCTATAAAAATTAGTTAAACTATTAATTACAGCATTAATCTGAAGAGTAGTCATTCCTCCGAAGTGACCAAAGAAGAATGCTGCTGTAATAATAAAGTATGGTAGTAAAAATGTCCGTTTTAAATATGACGAATAAAAAGTTTTATTTTTCTTCATTCTGGATTGTTGCATACTGGATGCTACAGATTTCTGTATAGTAGATAACTCAAATTGTACTTTATCTGGTTTTACCCAACCACGAAGCCAACATAATGATTTTTCAGCATCTGTAATTCTACCTTTACCTGAATAAATATCATATAAATTTTAACAATCTTTTAAATTCATTTAAATAAAAATAATAATTATTATAAAATAATTGATTTACTTATAAGCCAATATGGACTTTCAGGAACAAATAACAGTGATATTAAAGCTCCTATAGGTATAAAAGTATCTAATAGTGCTACTTTTCTCCAATTGAAAAAGTTACCCAAAGTGTATTGTGACATTACTCCAAATATTACTGTTATTGCTGATGATGCTGAAAGCACTCCTCTAATATGTGGTTGAGTTATTTCGGCCGCATAAGTAAACACCTATTAGTATTTCTAATTTTAATTATGAAAAATTTGTTAATTTATTATGGAAAAATTAATAGTTATTTTGGCTTCGATGCGAAGCTGAGAAGGTATTAATTTTACTATGATGTGTTTTTTTGGTGTGTCTGTGAACGCTCAATCTCAGCTCTCGCTGGACCGATTTTGATGAACAATATGTCAAAAGATCACAAATCGTATCTAGTCGAAGACATTACCCTCAAAAATTGAAAAAAATTCCCTCGTTCCCCGTAAATGGGGGAAACCTCCGAAAAAATTATAAATTTAAAAATGGCTAATTTTCGACATTTTTTCAATTTTTTTTACTAAAAACTGCCGTAACTTTTAGCTTCGATGCGAAGCTGAGAAGGTATTAATTTTACTATGATGTGTTTTTTTATTTTTTTATTT